AGATATGGCTAGACAGGTTTTTCTTTTCTTTGAAACATTTGCATTTTTTGATAACAATTAGAATATAAAATATTAAAATAACAAAATACTGATATGATACACAGTCCCGATCAAAAGTTTAAGACCACTTAAAAATGGAAAAAAATCATATTTTGCATGATTGGATCTTAACAAGGTTAGAGTAGAGCTTCAACATGCAACAAGAAGAAATGGCAGTGAGACAAAATATATTTTTTTTAACAAGCAATTTATTGAAAACAACGCATAAACTGAAACAGGCTGTTTTACAGCTGATTGAAAATTTAGGACCACATGCCTTTAAACCTTCTGGAGGGCAGGGTGGAGCTTATCCAAGCTACAGTGGTGGTGTTGGTGGTGGTCTCACTTATTCTTGTATTATTTGATAGTGGACATTTCAATATTTATTTGGAGTTCACTATAATTCATTGAAGTGAACTTAACCATTTTGGATAGTCACTATTCAACATGTTTGCAGAAATTAAATTGAACTTATACACCTGTGACATCCTGCTAGAAAACCTTGATATAAAGAGCATCTCTGAAGAAGTATTATAGTGTGTCTCTATCTGTTTTGGTCCTGTAATTTATCGGCTATGCTAGTGATATCAAACTTTTTTTACATCACGGGTCACATTCAGTGCACTTTGAGCTTATTCAGTTCAGTTCAATTCAATTCAATTCAACTCAATTCAGTTTTATTTATATAGGGCCACAGACGCTTTATATTGTACTTATGTGGGCTGGATCAGTGAAACTCCCCTTTCTGTCAGTCCTCAGAAATTTAACTACACATTTAATCAATTAAATATCGTAATATCAGCAAAAGAAGCACAGTTTTAACAGTACGCCACAATTTTTCTATATGATTATGAAATACTGCTGTATAAGATAATGAAATAGATCTGTCAAAATGACTCTTTGGTCTTAAATTGTAAGAAGTAAATGTTTAAAATCACAGAAATCTATAATGTAATTATTTTAGTCTAGTATGAATATGAAGACCATGGGTGAGGGCTTTATGAGTAGGAAAAGTTATAAAACTTTTCAAAACACAGGTCAGAGTTCAAAATTTATCTTCTCCTTTGCATTATCACATTATCCAATGACCCAGATTAGAGTGTTCATTGAGACAATAGTGGCGCCCTTGCCTAATCTTTGACACCCTTGTGCTATGCAAAAAGATCGACCGTCTGCCAAGTTTCACAGCGTTTGTGAAATTGTCACAAGCTTGTGCTTGTGTGAGTTCTCTCTGGGTAACCCCCCCACCCCCCAGCCCTAATAAGGAAAAGCATAACAGAACACTGGAAACATATTTAAGTTAATAATTTTTCTCCAAACTGGCATTCTAACTGATTTCAGAGTATATCAGCTCACTGTGGTTCCATAATTACTTTTGAGGGAAAAAACAAACATTTATTGTGAAAGTTTTGTGAAGTTTAACATGTGTTATTTTTAAATCTGTTATCACCCTCTTAAGCCACCACTCTTTTTTTCAGTACCAGAGCAGCAACTCATAGTGCACTACATCAAGAGAAGAGGACTCTTCACTGATCATGGTTCAAATTTGTAAAAGGCAGGTCTGCACTCTCCTTCCGAAATCTGACTGCATCTTCCTATTATTGCCTGTGCTTGTATTCATCTTCACGATATACATCATGGACATCCTGGAGGTGAGGACACATTTTTATTTATTAAATTCAATTCAACTCAATTTTATTTATATAGTGCAAAATCACAACAACAGTCACTTCAAGGTGCTTTATATTGTATAGTAGACCCTACAATAACAAATACAGAGAAAAACCCAACAATCATTTTATATATATGTATGTGTGTGTGTGTGTGTGTGTGTGTATATATATATATATATATATACCCTTCATTTCTAAGATACTAGAAAAAGTGGTTGCAGCTCAACTTCATTTACACCTGGTTAATAATAACATCTACGAGAGATTTCAATCTGGTTTTCGCTCATGTCACAGTACAGAAACTACTCTACTTAAAGTCACTAACAACCTTCTAATCGGAGCTGACTCTGGTCTTCTCACCATTCTCGTCCTTTTAGATCTGAGCTCAGCCTTCGACACCATCTCTCACTCTGTACTTCTAAGCAGACTTTCCTCTCTCGGCATCTCTGACACACCCCTCGCCTGGTTTCAATCATATCTCCTCGACCGTTCCCAGTTTATTCAACTAAGATCATTCCGCTCTCGTCTATTCCCCGTCACCTCTGGTGTACCCCAAGGCTCAGTTTTAGGCCCTCTTCTCTTCATAATATACCTTTTAATTCTTTTGTTACACAGAGCCAGAATTTTGAGATTTTTGAGCAAGTCCAAAGACAGTGCAAGTAGGACCCCGCCGCAGATTTACATTTAATATACTTTTATAATATACAATATTGTCCAGACCTGCTCGGATCAATTTTATTCAGAAAAATAGGCGTTCTATACTGTCTATGTAAAATTTCTTTAAATCTGTTACTAAGAAATAAAGAATGCACAGATTGTATGCACTCACTCCAGGCATGATCATCACAATGACACTGGAGGTCACCCTCCCAATTCCTAATCAGTTTTCCAATATTATGCTTGTTATAACCTTGTAGTGTATTGTAAAACTGTCTTATAGCACTATTATCTGCATTTAAGTGTAAAAAGAAATTTTCCATGGGTCCTAGTGGCATTGTATTGTGCAAAACCTGAAGTAATTAGGTGACGAGCATGTAAAAATGCAAAAAAATCCATTTGATGTATTCCATATTTCTTTTGGACCTGCTCAAAAGACATACAAACATTCCCATTAAACAGATCACCCACCTCACGTATTCCTGCACCAAACCATCTCTGAAATACTGCGCTTTTCATTCCCAAAAGTGTAGTATTTCATTCCAGTGCCGATTATTTATAAAAGGTGTTAGATAACTCAGTATAGGATTACTTTCAGTGTATTTATTCATATCACGCCATGTTTTTAAGTAAGCATCAATCATTACTTTGTTATGTTTTTAATATATTTACTCACTAGTTCGCTTAGGAGATTAAATGGCAAACATGTCCAGGCTTCAAAGATCCATTCATGTATAACTCTACTATTACATGACCAGTTATACAGCAAAATGTTAGGAAAGGCAAGACCCCCTTTATCTTTCGGCAGCTCTAACGTTTTCATACTTAATCTGGGTTTCTTACCCCTCCAAATAAACCTTGACAGATCTTTTTCAATTTCTTGGTAAGAGTTTTTTTTATTTTTTTGGTAAGAGTTATTGGGAGCATTTGTAAAGGATATAAAAGCCGTGGCAACACATTCATTTTAATTAAATTTATTCTTCCCATCCGGGAGACTGGGAGATCCATCTAGAAAGATATTTTTTGACGCTTTTATGAACTATGTCTATGTTCTGTTTCAATATACTTCTTGTATTACGTGAAATGTGTATCCCCAAGTACTTAAATCCCGAACCCGACCAGGTAAATGGGATGTTACATGTCATAGGCAAATTTCCCAGTGGCATACCAATAGTTTTGTTCATATTAACCTTATACCCGGACAAATATCCAAAAGTTTCTATAATAGATAATACAGGTATAGAATCCTGGGGATTGGTGACAAACAGCAGAACATCGTCTGTGTATAGTAAAATTTTAAATTCGAATCCTTGAATTTGGTATCCAGATATACTTTGATTATTTATAATGGCCTCTGCCAGTGGTTCAATTACTAAAGCGAAAATTAATGGGGAAATCGGGTCCCCCTGTCTTGTTGATCTCTGTAAACAGAATTCTGATGATCTAATACCATTTACTAAAACACATGCTCTTGGGGTGACATATAACAATCTGATCATGTCTATAAAGCCCTTGCCCAAGCCAAATTTCTCCATCACAGTGTTACGGATTCAAATATCGAGGAGGGATACAGCAGGAATCCAAATCACAACACTGGTCCAGGAGGGTTAGGTTAAACGATGATTTTAATGAACACGCGCGTGGGAGATGAACATTGTACGCAGACAGCATCGATCTCTCTCGAACAATACACAATCAGTTGTTTTTATATCATCAGGGTATTATTTATGACACCCCCTCATGCGTCAAGCAGATACAATACATGCATAACTTTCAAAACCACAAATGTTCTGGTAATGACTTTTGACACAGTGAAAAGAACATCGCCAAAGCAGAAACGGGGAACAGAAACAGCGATCAACTCACAATCAGGCAGCAGTGTCCTTCTCTCCCACGCCTGGCTTCTATATGCTCCTTCCTTTTGGGGTCTGTGCCAGCCTTCTTTTTTTCCTCCTCTGAGTGCTCATCCAGCTTTTTTTTTTTTTTTTACAAGTCCATTCAGCAGCTTATAGGCCACCTCAGGGCACACCCATAATCAGCAGGTGGCTGCTATTACCCAATTTGTCCACTGTACATCCAGTCCACACTAAATTAAAACAATGCCATGCAAAACACTAAAAAGGTGCACTATAAATACCAAAATCAAAATCATGCCACCGAAATCAAAACTGTACATATAAACACACTAAAATTAGGATAAAACTGATTATTAGACAAACACAAATTTCCACCATGTGATATTATGGAATCTTGTCCAGTTATTGAGAAATATTTTAGTGTAACATTACGTAATAACAATAATAATACATTATATAAAATAACATGATAAATGTATTTTCATAAAAAATGAATAATATAAAGGCCAGAAGCCCAGTACTAAACATGTTGTTGCAGGATGCTGTGGTAGCCATGCTGGTTCAGTGTGCCTTCAATTTTGAATGAATCCCCAACAGTGTCACCAGCAAAGCACCCCCACCCCTCCTCCTCCATGCCGAAGATAAGACAATGAAAACAGGAAATGCCAAGTCGAGAGGAATCTTTCATTATACTGTGTTTAAAACTAAAGAGACTTCTTTCATTTGAAGCATTTAGATAACTGCCATGCTCTTTCTTTGCCCGTTTCAGAAAAAAATGAACACCACCATCATCATCCCCTACCCAAGAGCTGCAAGAACTGTCACTCCACCTGTTGACATACATTACGACTTCTGCAAGTTAAAACCACTATCCCCTGAGGAGGCTCTTGAAGAAAACCTTCTACTAAATTCTACTGCTTGGCCTGAAACTCCATCTTTATCATCACCTCTTTTCTTGAGCAACACCAGTGATGCAGCACACAGCACTTTCACCATTCTCCCCAGTATAAGAGAGGGACAGTGGCGTGTAGGGGATAAACTGGAGGCCCTGATAAAAATACACGACTTCAAGGGGCGTCCAAAGAAGTTCGGGGGAGACGTCTTATTTGCCAAGCTGCACAACCCCACCCTTGGTGCAGGTGTGGTAGGGCAAGTGGTGGATCACCTCAATGGCTCCTACTCTGCTGAATTCTCTATACTGTGGGAAGGAAGCGCACAGGTTGAGGTGATGTTAAAACTTACCATTTATGCTGTGATGGTAGCTCTGTATTTTTGTCCCCTGGTAGGGTCTCACATGGCAAATTGGTCTTGGGTGAGTGACCAGAGAAACGGCAATTAGAATAGAATAGAATTCAACTTTATTGTTCTTGCACATGTCACAAGTACAAGGCACCGGAATGCAGTTGGCATCCATCCAGAAAGTGCTTTAGCAATAATATAGATGTATTGAAGAATATGGGTCTATTAAACGTATGTTACAATGTACACGGTATGAAGATATGTTGTGAATATACTATAACTATAAGTATGCACAGGCTCTAACTGCAGTGAGTGTACAAGCTATGTTCAAGCTATGAACAGGTTATACATATGGTTAAAAATATGAAAACTATACAGAAATATGAAATATGAAAACTATGCAGATTATAGATATGCAAATGCGAGTATTAATAAACAGATGTAAACAGTTGTAAAACTATAATTATTGTATTGTAAAGTATGATTGTCCATACAGCATTTACAGCAGTGCAATTAATTGTCTATACAGAATTTACAGTGGTGCAGTTGAGATCAGTGAGATATATGGATAATTTATACAGTAGTTACATAAAGTGTCAGTGGTTGTAAGTGATGGTTCAGTCCATGTTATTATTGTGTATGAGGGTACAGTTGGTCATTTGTTTGTTTTTGTCCGTTTGTGTGCGTTCAGTCATGGGTGGTTGTGGGTGTGTGTGCGTTCAGTCCATGAGTTTAACGTGGGTCAGATGTCAGGAGGCACAGTTCAGGAGTCTGACAGCTGTAGGGAAGAAACTGTTCTGGTACCTGGTGGTCTTAGTCCAGTGGCTCCTGAATCGCCTCCTCAAGGGCAGGAGGGAAAAGAGTCCATGTGTTGGGTGACTGGGGTCTTTGATGGTTTTCACAGCCTTTTCAAGACACCTCTTCCTGTAGATGTCTTGTATGGCAGGAAGTGGTGCTCCGGCGATGCGCTGGGCAGTTTTCACGACCCTCCACAACGCCTTCTGGTCCCAGACAGAGCAGCTCCCAGACTGTTATGCAGTTGGTTAGGATGCTCACGATGGTGCAGTGGTAGAAGTTCACCAGGATGTCTGAGGACAGGTGGTTCTTGCTCAGAGTCCTGAGAAAGAAGAGGCACTGGTGACCCTCCTTGACCAGCTTGGAGCAGTTGGTCGTTCAGGAGAGCTCCTCTGAGATGTGGACTCCCAGGAACTTGAAGCTCTTCACACGCTCCACAGCAGTCCCTTTAATGTAGATTGGTGGATGTGGGTCAGCATTCCTCCTGTATTGCACGATGAGCTCCTTGGTCTTCTCGGTGTTGAGCAGCAGGTTGTTGGTGTCACACCACTCAGCCAGACGATCCATCTTCTCTCTGTAGGCAGCCTCATTGTTGTGTTTGATGAGGCCAATCACCGTGGTGTCATCTGCAAACTTAATGATTGTGTTGGAACCATTGGCAGGTCTGCAATCATGGGTGAAGAGGGAGTAGAGGAAAGGACTCATCACACAGCCTTGTGGTACACCAGTGTTCATTGTGATGATAGATGTGCAGTGGTTATCCAGCCGGACATGTTTGGGCCAGTTGGTCAGGAAGTCCAGTGACCATTTGCACATGAGGGAACTGATGGGGTGGCTGTAGCTCAGGTGGTAGAGCAGGTCATCTACTGGTCGGAAGGTTGGTGGTTCGATTCCTGGCTTCCCCTAGTCTGCATTCAAAATATCCGTGGGCAAGATACTAACCCCAAATTGCTCTCCGATGCATCCATCGGAGTATGAATGTGTGTGAATGTTAGCTATAAAGCACTTAGAAAAATGTGCTTGTTCTTGTGCAAATGGGTGTGAATGGGTGAATGCACAAGTTGTGTAAAGTGCTTTGAGTGCTCAGATGAGTAGAAAAGCGCTATATAAGAACCAGTCCATTTACCATTTTACCATGTCTAGGTCTGTGAGTTCCCTGATAAGGGGACAATTGTATTGAACACTGAACTGAAGTCTATAAACAACATTCTGGCGTAGGTGTTTTTATTGTCCAGGTGTGAGAGGACAGAGTGCAGCGCAATGGAACTGCATCCTCTGTGCTCCTGTTATGATGGTATGCGAATTGGTGGGGGTCCTGGGTGGGGGGGAGACAGGATTTGAAGTGTGCTAGGACCAGCCGCTCTAAGCACTTTGTAATGATGTGGGTTAGGGCTACTAGGCTGTAGTTGTTGAGGCTTGATGGGTTGGAGTTTTTGGGTATTGGGACGATGGAGGTGGATTTGAAGCAGGCTGGTACCACAGTATGGGCCAAGGATAAGTTGAATATGTCTGTCAGCACTCCTGCCAGCTCCCCAGAACACACTCTGAGAACACGCCTGGGGATACTATCAGGACCTGCAGCCTTGTGGACATTAATCCTGCTCAGCACCGCTCCTACATCGGGAAGAGAGAGTCAGTGGTAGGTGGTCTGGAGTCAAGTCTGCTTTAGTCGCAGTAGTTGGATTCCCTCGCTCAAAACAAGCAAAAAAGTTGTTGAGCTCATTGAGCAAGGAGACATCAGAGGATGCAGGGGAGGGTTTAGTAGTCCTGTAGTCTGTAATGGTCTGGAGTCCTTGCCACATACGTCAGGGGTTGGAGTGGGAGAAGTGTTCTTCTACCTTCGTTTTGTAGTGGTGTTTGGATTGTTGATGCTCCTCTTTAGCTTAGCTCTGGCTGTACTGTAGGCCTGTGCATCCCCTGACCTGAAGGCAGTATTGCGGGCCTTCAGGAGGAGATGAACATCCCAGTTCATCCAAGGCTTCTGGTTGGGGTACATGGTGATCCGTTTCTGGGTGGTGATGCTGTCTGTAGTCGTGGAGATGTAGTCCAGTACAGATGACGTATTCCAGTCTGTGTTTTAGAATCGGTCCTGGAGCACTGTGTCTGTCCCCTCTGGGCACACTTTAATTGTCTTTACAGGAGGTTTCACACATTGGATGAGTAGTGAGGAACAGGGAGAGATGGTCTGATTGTCCAATGTGGGGGAGGTGTGTCGCTTTGTTGGCTCAGCCTGGTTGGAATAACCATGGTCTAAAGTCTTGTTCCCTCTGGTGTGACAGGAGACATGTTGGTGGACTGGAGGTTGGAGGACTGTCTTTAAGTTGGTGTGGTTGAAGTCGCCAGCAACAATAAAAGCAGCCTCATGGTGTTTAGTCTTGTGTTTGCTAATGGCTGCATAAAGGTCTTTCATAGCCAGCCCAGAATTGCCATGAGGGGAGATATACACTGCAGTAATATTGACAGAAGTGAGTTCTCTGGGGAGATAATAAGATTAAAAACTCCGCATTAGGTAAGCAGTGACTCTCAGTAGTAGTAGAGTTCATGCACCAAGCATTGTTAATATAAATGCACAAACCTCCACACCTGGTCTTCCCGGAGTCATCTGCGAGCATTGTCGGCTCAGTGTGTGTGACGTCCTGCTAACTCAATAGCATTGTCCGGGCAGCTGTTGTTTAACCATGTTTTGGTGAAAAACATGACATTTGAGTCCATAATCCATCTGTTTTTGGTGATGGAGAGCCGTATCTCATCCATTATGTTTGCCAGAGAACGGACATTGATGAGGAAAATGCTGGGTAAAGGGAGCCGGTGTGGTGTTAGCTTTAGCTAGCTAGTAGCCCTCCGTGCCTACCCCGCCTCTCTTTACATTCTCGGTGCCGCCTGCCTGCACTTCCGCAAGCCCGGGAAGGGTGGGCAGCCTCCGGTGTTCTGGAGATCTCTGGGATGAGTCTGAGATCGGCAATAAAACTGGAGTTTTGAGTCCAAATGTCAAGCAGCTCTTGTCTGCTGTAGGTCAGCAAAGCACAGCAATTCTGTATGAACATTCAGGTCAAAAGTAGATTTAAAACTGCTAAATAGCAGATTGTGGAGAGACACTGAGCCTCGTGTTGTTCATGCGCCGCCATCTTGGTTACACAAAACCCCCTATCAGCAGAAGATCGAAGGGAACGGTTCACCCTGCCCAGGATAGGGTTACCAGGGCCCTGCCCTAAAGCCAGGCTCAGGGAGGGTGTCTGAGGGCGAGTGTCTGTAGGCCGTGCCTTAATCCCAGACTAGTCTGGTGGTCCATGTCCCTTTTTTAGGCCATGAGCGCAAACTCCTGTAGTCCCACTACCTACAGGAGGCACTCTAGGGGTCGGATGCAATGTGTGCTGGGCAGCGGCCAGGAGTGGAGACCCTGACAGACAGATCCCTGGCTACCGAGACTAGTAATTGAGATGTGGAATGTCACCTCTCTGTTGGGGAAGGAGTTAGTATGTGAGGTTAAGAGGTACTGGCTAGATATAGTCGCCTCAACGCACGGCTTGGGCTGTGGAACCAGTCTCCTGGAGAGTGGCTAGACTCTGTCTCAGTCTGGAGTTGCCCTCAGTGAGAGGCGGTGGGCTTGGGTGCATAACCTAGTTAGTATCTTCTCGGCTTGCTGCCCATATGTTTGGATTTTTCCCAATGGAGGCGAGGGTTCTATTTTTTGTTGTTTTTGTTGTTTTACATGCACCTTTGGTTCTGAAAAGTGGTCCTGACCATCGTTCGCGCATATGTGCTGAATGATGGTTCAGCGTGCCCGGCTTTCTTATAGTCCCTCGGTGGGGTGTTTGAGGGTGTGCCACCTGGGGACTGTGAGGTCTCCCAGTAGGACAACAATGCTCAGGTTGGCAACAAAAGTGATTGGGGGAAAAATCGCCTCCTGTGTTCAAACATAACATAGTGTACATAAGTGCATGTGGAACCGGGACACTGCAGACCAGAGGTTGATGATCACTTTTGTAATTGCATCATCAGACACATATTGCATATCAGAACCATATGTTCTGGACACTTGGTGATCGGTTGACAGCTCAGCATGCTGGGAACACCTGGCAGAGGCCCCGGTCCACAAGATCTTCAACTCCCACCTCAGACAGAGCTTTTAACAGCATTCTGAGGGAGACTGGGGACATTGAGTCTAAATGGTACATGTTCAGCACCTCCATTGCTGAAGCTGCTGCACTGAGCTGCAGCAGCAAGGTGGTTGGTGCCTGTTGTGGTGGTAACCCCTGAACCAGATGGTGGACACCAGAGATGAAGGGAACCATTAGGCTCAAGAAGTAGTACTGTAGTGGAGATATCAGGAATAGATACGGTTGTGGCACTGATTCACCCTTTAGCACTACGGTCAATCCGGTTTGTCGGCCAGAACACCACTTAAGGCCAAATGGTCCCAGAGTATGAAGAAGGAGCTTAAGGTTTGGTTTAAGGCAGTTTATTCTTTCACAACTCAGTTCTTGTGGCTGTAATCACTTGTGTGGTTTTCCACAAAGGAAGTACATAATACAAATAAATGATAAATAAGGTGAAGAGATAAGTGACATATCCAGATATATGCATAATACAATATAGTTAACATAACCATATATAAAGAAAAGATCATAGTAATGCAGTAATGATCACAGTAATGCAGTAATGCTAAGCACAAAGGTGTATGTCTATATAAATCTATCTTTTAAACAAGCAGAGCAATGTAGTACAGTTCTACTGCTTACACTATGCCAACTAAACGGTATTACTGCGAGGTTAAGTTACCATCAGAACATCAGTACACAAGAGCTACTTCCGGTAGTTTTACAAAATAAAGCTTCCCCATTACAATCCGCTGTAGTGCTCTTATTGGGAAGGGCAAGCGGGAACATTATACTTCCAGTCGAACTACGATGCGCATTTTAGCGGCCCTCTTAACAAATTGTCTGGTGTAAGGTTCCGTATTATAGATTAAAGAATCACGAGCACCACATACACCATACAGAGAAGCTCTGATACTACAGGCATGAAGTTAGAAACAAGGACCGTACATGTGGCAAACTAAAGCTAAACCAGGATAAACTAACTGACATCAATTAGGTTGGGAAATGAGGGTGAAGTCTTGCATCATATGCGTGGCCTATACCGTTCAAACTATGAATTACGTTAGCTTCTAAATTGTAAATATATCATGGTATCAATACAAACAAAGGAAATGCAACACAGGTTAATACTCATTCATCATTCACACACACATCACATCCCACAGGAATCAGTGCACCTCCACCGGACCAATCCACCGCTCATCAGACACATTACTAACTAGATGACATCACCAGACGGTGGGCTGGCTCAAACTAACAGAAGGTTAAATACTGAACGAACAATATATAAAGTTACATACACCTGTATAGGAACTCAAATAGAATTATTCTATGAACTTTGGGGCCTTTTATAGAAGTCCTATTGGTTTTGGTTAACCTGTGGGACTTTAGAGGCAGCCGATTCGTACCGACAGGCCATGCAGAACATGGCTTGGGCAGTGGCTGAAGCAAAAACTCGGGTGTGGGAGGAGTTCGGAGAAGCCTTGAAAAAAGACTTTCGGACTGCCTCAAAGAGATTCTGGCAAACTGTCGGCGACTCAGAAGGGGAAAGCGGTGTCCTACCTGCACTGTGCATAGTGCAGGTGGAGTGCTGCTGACTTCAACTGAGAAAATTGTCAGGCAGTGGAAGGAGTACTTCAGGACCTACTTAATCCCACTGGCACATCTTCTGTCAAGTAAGCAGAGTCTTGGGACAAGGGGGATGACCCGCCAATCTCCAGGGGGGAGGTCACTGAGGCAGTTTTATGACTCCTTGGTGTCAGGGCCCGTGGGTTGGATGAGATCTGCCCCGAGTTCCTGAAGGCTCTGGATGTTGTAGGGCTGTTTTGGTTGACACGCCCCTACAATGTTGCATAGAAATCAGGGGTGATACCTCTGGATAAACAGACCGGGGTGGTGATTCCCATTTTTAAGAAGGGAGACCGGAGGGTGTGTTTGAACTATAGGGGAATCACTCTTCACGAAACCACGGATACAGGAATACTGGACCAGCTCTTTACTCTCTCGAGGATACTTGAGGGGGCATGTGAGTCTACATGTGTTTTGTGGACTTGGAGAAGGCATTCAACTGTGTCCTTAGGGGTGTCCTGTGGGAGGTGCTTCAGAAGTATGGGGTGTCTGGCTCGTTGCTATGGGCCATTCAATCCTTATTCAACGTTTGCAAGAGCTTGGTCCGCAATGGTCCCAGCTAGCAATAAGTCGGACTCATTTCTGTTGCCAGAGTGGCCCTTTCTCACCGATTCTGTACCTAAATTTTATAGACAGAATTTCTAAAGATAGCCAAGTGGTGGAAGGCTTCCACTTGGGTGATCTCAGAATCTTATCTCTGCTTTTTCAGATGATGTCATCAGGTGACAGCCTCCAGCTTGCACTGGAACAATTTGCATCAGAGTGTAAAAGTGGTGTGAATGAGAATCAGGATCCTCCAAATCTGAGGCCGTGGTCCTCAGCTGGAAAAGGGTGGAATGCGCACTCCAGGTTTCACTCTGGAGTTGCCCTTGACACAAGGAAGTAATACTGTGTTGAAAGGTTGTAGTTCTAACACATTATACCTGTGAGACCAGGTTTGAAAACTCTGGTTCTTTGTCCTACCAGGTTACATTGGTTCATCCTAGTGAGGCAGTCAGGGTGTTGCACAGGCTGAACAGAGAACAGCCCGACAGGATTTACTTCAAGAGCCAGTTCCGCTCTGGCTCTGTCACTGAAACGACCATCTGTAACGTATGTTTGCATTCGGCACAGCAGCCTGTGTGCAACTACACTGAGCTCCTTACAGGTGAGCCATGGTTCTGCTACAAACCAAAGAATCTGAATTGTGATGCCAGAATCAACCACTTCACGGGAGGATTTAAAGAAAACATCACAGCCATTGAGAAACAACTTTTTCAAAGGTTTGTGTTACCTATGTATATGTCTTTGTTGTTAGATTTCAGGAGCTATAAACGGCTGTAAAATATGTCTTAAAGGGTGCACATCAACATTAGTCTAGCACTAAAAGGTTTCGAGTGCTTGCATTTTTACATTTTTAGAGAGACTGAACCCAAAAGAAACTGTTTTTAAGCTGCTTTACAAAGTTAGCAGAGAATTAGCAAGTAGCAACTGTTCATTTGTATTTGTGTCAGTAACCATCTAGCAAATGTCCCCTCTCTTTAGAAGCAGATATTTCTTACTCTTCACCCACTAAAGAGAGAAATGTTTTTTTCATAAACCTTTTATTGGTTCTGTAATGTTCATTAGTGTTTAGGCAGGGCTTTCCTAGTTAAAAGAAAAAGCTACCTGCTCTGTGTAGTTAAATTACACAGGAGTAGTGTGACTGGACTGAAACCTTAACGTCATAAATGGTTATGTTACGGATACTAATTGATGGACTTTTGAATTGAGGGATTTTCTCATGTGTGCTTTGCTTCAGAGGTGTCAACATGAAAGTCTCCATTCCAGCATCAGGACCTGCCAACATCACCGTGCTTCCAAAAAGGAAAGGTAAAACCTTTTTTTTCAATAATAAAATACAAAAGTGAATGTGTAACTGTTAGAAGACCTAAAACAAATATTATAAATCTTTACCACTATGTTGTACATAGTGTACAGGTATACATAATATCATAGTCTCCTTATGGCATATGGATGTGGCTCCTGAATCTAAAAATTGAAGGCATGAAGAAGTGCTTTAAACTTGCATTGGTTCTAGGATGATTGCAAGGAAGTAGTAGTTTTGTAAAAGTTTGTGGGAAAATCTATATCCTCTTTTTTACCCATAAACCAGAATGCAAACATATTCCTTTTAGATTCAAGTCTCATCAACTACGACATGATTTTAATTCTGTCTCTATGTCCCCACTGGAGTCTAGATGGACAATAAAGCATGATATACATAAAAGTGGGCCTGCCTTGTGATTCATTAACAACAGCCACATAACACTAGTTTTACAGTCAGATCAATCCCAGCTTGTGACATCTGTTTTCAAAAATCTGTGTCACAAATAAATCAAAAGAGATCATTAATCTGGTCAAGGACACTTTGATTTGGCGAGGTATCACTCAAACTCCCACCAACCTATTGATTAACAGGCGTCCCCCTCAAACCACTAAGCAACAAACACGACAGCTGGATGACAGAAAAATTGTTTCTGTTTCCACCAAAACAGCTTGACTGCCACTGTGTCTCTGGTAATGTACTTGAGGAATGGAGAGACATTCTTCGGCAACATACTACCCTATTTGGGATTTGAAAATTGATCATGGACAGCAGTTTCTTTTCAAAAGAGTTCAATTCAATTGTATTTACATTGCGCCAAATTATAACAACAGTCACCTCAAGGTGCTTTATATTGTAAGGTAGACCCTA